GTTTGATTCTGAGATCATCCTCAGTTATGAGGGCAATCACACTGCTATCGAACTCTCTTTCAACGGGCCTACCGTTATTGCAGCAAAGACGATTTTTTGGAGTAGGAACTAGCTTATCTGTATCGGTTATTTTGATTTAACGGGTATCCGATCGATTTTTTGAAGAGTTGCTTCGGGTATCAGGCAAAGCATTGAGGTCCCTCCTCAAATTGAAAAATCGTGACACAGAAATTCTTCTACCTGCCCTATATGCAGGGGACCTTGGAAATGATCGTCCGCCATCTAAATCGGTTCGGTATCCGCGTTGCCCACAAGCCTGCATCCTCACTGCGCACAGTCTTATCTTGAATAAAGGATTCTATCCCAAAGGAGGAGCATACTACCATCATCTAGCGCATCCCGTCTGTCAATGTCCTGGGTATATTTTGGTCATACAGGACGATGCCTGGGAACTCGAATCAATGAACAAGAATAAGCTATCTGTCGCCGTGACCTACCGCCCCTCGTCTTTGCACACGCACTTCAGTGCGACCAACGTTTCATTTAGGATGACACCGAGGTCATTTCCACGGTCAACACAAAACGGGCGAGAGAATTCGTAGAGGCATGGCACTCTAACGCGGAGAGCATCAACCGCCACGTTGACCTAGGCGTCCACTATAAGGGCCTATGATCACGCCTCACTAAGCCGAGTCCCACGCCGCATCAGCGGCCGCTAATTCAGGCGGCCGCAGTTCCCACTACTTACCATTCTCCCTCCCCTCTAACATGGGGAGCCGTAAATGTTCTTTCACCTCCACCTCCTCTCCTCCCGGCTCAAAACCAAGCATGACTCCCTGCCCGCATCAACACACACGCTAATGGCCCGCCCGTCGGAGTGCCGTGATACTAAATAGCTGGGAAAATAAAAGACGTCTGCAGTAAACTGCGATTTGGCCTCAGTATCTCTAAGTAAATAGTGAACTGAGGGCTGTTGGCCAACATCGCATCATAAATAGCACAGGTCATTTGATGTGTCACGTCAACAACTACGAAAATCCAGCTCAAACCTTCTAAAAAGATGAAATAATGGACGACGCCAGGATTCGGCCGTTATCGTCGTGCCGCTATGGTTCATTTATACGTCTCTCTGTGGACAAACTCATGACAGAGCTGTCTGTTTGCCTACGGACGCAAAGATATTTGAAAAAAGAAGAGGTTCTTCGGAAAAAAATCGAGTTTCGAATTGGTGGCACCAACCCGTCGTCAGACGAAATAAAGAGAGAGTGAGACAGTCACAGTAGACTGGTAGACGCGACAGGTCAAACATTGATGAGCGGACCATTAGCGTGTGAGGAGGGATGCGGGCAAAGATTCATGCTGGGTTCTGAGCCTTACACTTCTGATCACGCCTCACTAAGCCGCAGCCGCTAATCCAGGCGCCCGCAGTACTGACAACCTACCATTCTCTCTCCCCTCCAACAAGGGGAGCCGTAACTGTTCCCTCTCTCCCTTCCTGTCCCCCGTCTAAGAGCCCAGCATGACTCCCTGCACGCATCACTCCTCATACGCTAATGGTCCGTCAATCAGTTTTTATCCTGTCGCGTCTACTAGTCTAGTGTGATTGACTCACTCTCTCTTTTATCCTCATTTCGTCTGACGACGGGTTGGTGTCACCAATTCGAAAATTCACGAGGGCAACTCGATTTTTTCCGAAAAACCACTTCTTTTTTCATCTTTGTATATATCTCAAGTGATCCACACATGGGGTTGGGTATGACTGGCTGATGACGGCTAATAAGCCAGAAATGGCCATTCCGGTCTCCCTTGCCTTTGTCGGTATTACCTTTCCATATATATATATATATATATATATATATATATATTTAAAGGAGAAGGCTCGTCGGAAAATCGAGGTATACTCGTGAATTTTCAAGTCGGTTACACCAACCCGTCGTCAGACGAAAATGAAAAGTGTGAGGGAGATAATCCTACTGGGGAGTCAGGGGGACATCGACAAGACAGGCGTTTATGTGTGGGGGTGAAGAACGTGTTTGGATAGGTGGCGGACGTAAGGGGTGGTGTTGGGGTTTCACACATGGTTCACTCTGTGGGGGAGGTGCTGAATCCATGATATTCTACATGGCCGAACATGGATTAGCAGTTGGTGGCTTAGGGTGGGCGCAAGCCGGCGAACCGTAAACGTAAGCCTTCGTATTGAGCGTCCAAGTCGACATGGCGGTTGATGCTATTGCTATTAGAGTGCCAAGCTTCTAGAAACTCTCGCGCTTGTTTGGTGTTGGCACTAGCGATCACTTCGGTCCCCTCCCAGTTGAAGCGGTGATCACACTCAAGGGAGTGCGCAAACACGAAAGACAAGGGGTCCCGTCGGCGGATGGCCAACTTATGTTCGTTAATGCGGGTTCCAAGTCGTCGGCCGGTATGCCCAACATAAACGCTAGAGCAGTTTGAACATGGAATGCGGTAAATGACATTTGTTTGCTGCTCCTTCGGTATGGGGTCTTTTACCCGGGATAATGTCGTGCGCAATGAAGACGCCGGTTTGTGGGCGACGCAGATGCCGAATCGATTTAATTGTCGAGCGATCGCTTCGGAAATTCTCGGCATGTAGGGCAAGGAATAGAATTTCCGTGATACTCTATCTCCGTTAGAGTCGACGTTTTGTGGTTGTTGTTGACGTCTGAGACAATTTTTCACAAAGCTCGCCGGGTATCCGTTGAGTCGGAAAAAGCGATGCAAGTAGGCCAGTTCATCTTTGAGTAAATCGGCGCTACTGCAGTAACGATAGGCCCTGTGGAAAAGGGTCCGAACACAGCTTCTTTTATGGGCTGCTGGGTGGTTACTCTGATAGCTCAGGATGATCTCAGCGTCAGAGCTTTTCCGATGAACGCTTGTTGCGATGCCACCGTCACTGAGCTTTTGTATGCTCACGTCTAGGAACGGGAGGGTGCCTCCTTTTGCATCTTCACGAGTGAGTTGTAGTGCTGGGAAGGCGCCATTCAAGCTCTGGTGAAATCGCTCAACTTCACAGGTCTTAGCGATAACAAATGTGTCATCTATGTATCTGAGCCACGTTTTTGGTTGGAAACTTTGCACAGCATCATGTTCTAGTCGTTGTAAGACTAGTTCTGCAAGTAGCCCTGAAATTGGCGAACCCATTGGGGTGCCCTTAACCTGCTGGTAGTATTTGGCATCGAATTGGCAATAGTTATTGAGGCAGGGCTTAAGCAATTCTAGAACGTGATGCGTTGGAAGGTCGATCGGATTGTCTCGTAAGCGATGGGCCACGCTCTCAATGGCAAGGTCATGTGGTATTGAGGAAAACAATCTACCCGCATTCTCTGTCGTCCCTACTCGCGGCTATTATGACTTGACCGACTACGGCCTGGTAATTGGTTGCCTGTTCGTGAACTTTGCCACACATACGGAGGTTGTTTGCTTTGTGAAGCCAATAGATCGGTGTGCGCCCATTTCTGATTGAAAATTCCCGATCTGCAGCGACAGGGAATGACAGGTGGCGAGGCACTGATGAACTTCGGTTCGATGAAATGCTTATGACCCATCTAGTAGGCCTCAGTGGTGGAGCGAATGCGCCAGGTGCGTCATTGCGCAGGTTTGTGTTTCTGGTCTCAGCTGCTGGTGGTCAGGGTTATGATTGGCTGTATAAAGGCAGAATAAGCCCGAAATAGTGCTGTATCAATCTACCCGCATTCTCTGTCGTCCATCCTCGCTGATATATACATAGAAGAAGACGGGAAGGCGATCGCTGGGACCAATGGTTTATTTATCCGACGTTTCGAACTCTCACGCGAGCCCATCGTCAAGGAATGAGAAAACTGTACAGCTCGTCGTGTATTTAGCTCACCTCTGCCGGGGGTGACCTCTAGCTGCGCTGTTGATTTGTTCACGGAGTGCTTGATAGGCGATTGGCAGATCGATATGTCGATTAATCGCGTACTCAGTTGAGTGCCACGCTTCCTGCAGCAGGCGCGCAACTCGGTTGTCTGACTGTCCTAGTATTCTCACGCTCTCAAAGTCAAAGGCGTGTCCTGGCGAGGAGGCGTGGGCGGCTACCAAAGAGAGTTTATCCTTCCGTCTCACGGCCAATTCATGCTCATGCAATCTCGTGCGGACCTGTTTTCCGGTTTCACCAACATAACTGGCCTGACCGCAATTGCAGTCTATGCGGTAGATGACCCCCGATTTCTGATTTATGGGAATCGGATCCTTGGGCTGCATGAGTTGACGGCGGATTGTGGCTTCAGGTCTGTGCGCGACGCCGATCCCAAATTCGCTCACCAGTCTGGCGAATTCTTCTGACAAACCAGCTACGTACGGAACTGCGCGCCAGCACTTCGGTTTCGGCTGCCCCTTCGATTTTCTTCCCTGTGCTTCTCGCCTGCACTTTTCGACAAAATTCCCAGGGTAGCCGTTTATGGTGAAGAGTTTCTTCAGGAACTGAGCCTCGGCCTTCTTGTCGGCTGGCTCTGTGCAATGGGTTTCTACCCGCCGGTAGAGTGTTCTTACGCAGCTGCGTTGGTTCGAAAGGGGGTGGTTGCTGAGAAAACTCAGAATTCGAGAGGTATTTGTCGCCTTTCGGTAAACTGTTGTTTTTAGTCCCCCATCGCCTTTTCTCTGGACTAGTACGTCGAGGAACGGCAACTGGCAATCTTTTTCCTCCTCCATCGTGAACTGGATATCTGGGAAGATCGAGTTCAGATGTTGCGTGAATTCCCCAATCCTGTCCCGATTGATGATGACAAATGTGTCATCAACATACCGTACCCAAAATCGTGGTCGGTAGTGGTCAAAAGCCAGTGCCTCCAGTCGCTGTAACACTGCCTCAGCAATCAAGCTGGATAACGGCGACCCCATCAGTGTGCCTTTAACTTGTTCGTACGTGGCTCCATTGAAGGTGAAGAAGGTCTTCAAGCAGTGTTTCTGGAGATCGACAAGGTGTTTTATCTTAAGTTTGTTGTCCGTCTCGTTATAACGTTGCTCTAACAAGGTTTGCACAGTTTCAACGCGAGATGTTGTGGGATGGAAGTGAAGAGTGATACCACGTCGAAAGATACCATCACTTCGTCATCTGTAAGTTGAATACCTTGCAGTTTCTCAAGGAATCGTTCTGCTGAGTGGATGGTAGTTTCGGAACCTTGGGTTAGGAATTTCAGACGCTGGAACAGCCACTTAGCCAGGCCAAACGTTGGTGTGCCTCTTAGAGAAACGATCGGTCGTAGGGGGGTTCCTGGTTTGTGGACCTTGGGTAGACCATAGAATCTCGCGATCGCGGAATCCTTTGGTTTCATCCTCTGCCAGTCAAGCCGTGTAATCGCTTTTGACTTCCGAAGACTTGCCAGGTCCTTGTTGATTTTGCTCATTAGAGCCTTCGTCATATCCCCTTCACAAGGAATGTAGGCAGTTCTATCGCCCAAAAGGGCCTCGACTTTGTTGACGTAGTCCTCCTTGTTCAGTACGACCGTCGAGCGTCCTTTATCGGCCGGGAGTATGACAATGCTTTTGTCGGCCTTCAGAGTCCGAAGTGCTTCGTTTTCTGCTTTCGAGAGCATATTGCGTTTCTTGTGGGACATGAGTCTGTAGGATATTCGCTGTCGTAGCAGATTTCTGTTTTCCTCAGTGATTAGAGCTTCACGAATGACAGATTCCGCAGCTGCGATGAAGTCAACGGGTTGGGCATCCGTCGTATTGAAGCAGGCATCATGGCTCAGGACTTTTATCTGCTCTGCTGTCAGTTGTTTGGAAGATAGGTTGTGCACAACATTATCATAGCAGAGGCTGGCATTCTTTTCGCTCAGTGTGGTCAACTTCTGCTTCAGTTTGGATTCACGTGCATCGCGAATGCGCCTGGCACTGAGAGAAAGGCTGCGATGAAGATCATTTGTCAGCGGTTCTCCAAGAATCCTTGAGCACTTCGCTTGTTCATCCTCAATTGCTGCTTTGTACTTGCGTAGTCGGAGGTGACAATCCTGGATTAAAACCCGAATCATTCTGCGTCCGTGTTGTAAGACTGTTCGCCTACCTAGCTCGGTGTTGACGGAAGATTTATACGAGAGGCATCTCGGCAGAGTGTTTGAGTCTAGGCACCTGTGCAGGAACCTCAGTTGAGCGTACGTTGAAGCTTGTTGACAGGAGAAGGATTCCCACCGACGCGCTGGTATAAGCGCTTCGCGCCCGAATGTATTCCGAATGATAGAGAATACGCGCGGCCCAGGTAATTGCATAGAAGAAGACGGGAAGGCGATCGCTGGGATATATACATATATATATATATATCGCGTTCATTATCTCCCGAAGAAGACGAAGAAGAAGAGAGGGCGAATTCATGGACCATATTGTATTCGAACTGACGTTTCGGAAACTTCCTCGTTTCCATCATCAGAGTAGCGTAGTTGTTGCAGTTGCCGATCTTGAGTTGTTCAGTCTTGCCGCTTGCCTCGTATTATAGCCGTGCTGGACGCACGAACTTTGACCTGCCTGTTTGCCGCTGACTGGCTTAGACCTCCCCGGGGCTGACCGCTGATAGGCCTGCGTGACCTTTGTTCCCTTTGGGGTCGGCGTAATTGTGGTCAAATCAACGTGCCGCTTGGCCTCTCCCACATCAGCCGGTGGACTGATCGGTCGTTGCTGTTCAGTTGAGCAGCATTCAGCTTCGCGGGAGCGTCGGTGAGGGAGTGTTCGGCTTTGGTCACATGACCTCTGGCCCCCAATTCCGCTCTTTTCCGTGAGCGTTGACTCTCGGTCCCGCATGCTCGCTTGCCTTACTGGTCTTGTCCGTACTGATCCGAGCCTTGTACGCAGCGCCTGATAGGCGGGATGTAGATCTATAGCTCGGTCGAGTGTACCAGCCGAGGACCAACTTTCGAGCACCAGTCTGGCCATCTTCTCATTGGCTCTGCCAATTACCCTCGCTTTCTCAAAGGCAAAATCGTGGTTCAGTTCTCTTATGTGGCCATACACCAAAGACAGCTTGTCCTTGCGGTTGATTGCAAGTTGGTGTTCGTGCAATCTTGTACCGAGGCGTTTGCCCGTTTCACCAACATACCTCGCACTGCAATTTAGGCATGGTATGCTGTAGACCACAGCCGACTGTTCTGTTGTTGGTAGCGGGTCTTTGGGCTTCATGATTTGCTGTCTGATGGTGCATTCTGGTTTATGAGCCACGCCAATCCCAAAAGGTTTCAGGATTCTTGCCGTTGCCTCTGGTACGTTCTTCACATAGGGTATCGAGAGCCAGAACTTGGGCTTTTCTCCACTCGACCGCTCAAAATGAGGCTTATTGAGGCAATTGCGTATGATGGACTTCGGGTAGCCGTTGGCTTTAAAAAGGGCCTGCAAGTAATTCATCTCCTCCTTCCTTCCACTGTCGTCGCTACAGTGTGTATGAACGCGTTGAAAGAGAGTTCTGACACAACTGCGTTTATGACCAACAGGGTGGTTGCTTCGGAAGTGAAGGATGCGCCTGGTATTTGTTGCTTTACGGTAAACCGTTGTCCTTATCTTCCCGTCTGTCAATCTCGTGACTTGTACGTCCAGGAAGGGCAACTGATTGTTGACTTCGTCTTCCATAATTAACTGAATATCGTGAAAGATGGAGTTCAACAATGCCTTGAAAGCCTTCACCTCACTCCTCTTGATTACAACGAACGTGTCGTCGACGTATCTGGCCCAGAACTTCGGGGGGTACGAGCTAAAGACCTGCTGCTCGAGTCTCTGCAAAACTGCTTCGGCAATTAGTCCAGACAGAGGCGAGCCCATCGGTGTCCCCTTCTTTTGCTCGTAGACTTGGCCGTTGAATGTAAAGAAGGTCTTAAGACACAGTTCTAGGAGCTCGATGATGTGTGCCCGTTTGAGCTGTTGGACGGTTTCATCATACTTTTCAAGGAGAAAGCCAACAAAAGTGTCGATAGCCAGCGCGAAAGTTGGTCCTCGGCTGGTACACTCAACCGAGCTATAGATCTACATCCCACCTATCAGGCGCTGCGTACAAGGCTCGGATCAGTCCGGACAGGACCAGTAAGGCAAGCGAGCACGCGGGACCGAGAGTCAACGCTCACGGAAAAGAGCGGAATTGGGGGCCAGAGGTCATGTGACCAAAGCCGAACACTCCCTCACCGACGCTCCCGCGAAGCTGAATGCTGCTCAACTGAACAGCAACGACCGATCAGTCCACCGGCTGATGTGGGAGAGGCCAAGCGGCACGTTGATTTGACCACAATTACGCCGACCCCAAAGGGAACAAAGGTCACGCAGGCCTATCAGCGGTCAGCCCCGGGGAGGTCTAAGCCAGTCAGCGGCAAACAGGCAGGTCAAAGTTCGTGCGTCCAGCACGGCTATAATACGAGGCAAGCGGCAAGACTGAACAACTCAAGATCGGCAAGTGCAACAACTACGCTACTCTGATGATGGAAACGAGGAAGTTTCCGAAACGTCAGTTCGAATACAATATGGTCCATGAATTCGCCCTCTCTTCTTCTTCGTCTTCTTCGGGAGATGATGAACGCGATACAATGTCTGGACCTCGGATCTTTACGCATATCGATGTATGCTATGGGCGCACAGCCCTCCGCTCAGCACGCAGATGGGAGACTTTCGCGAAGTGGGAGTCCTCCACCTACGCTCAGCTGAAATTCCTACACAGGTGCCTTGATGAGGACGTCTTACCGAAATGCCTCAAATATAGACCGCCTGTGAACACTGACCTTTGCCGGCGGACGATGGCGGACTTCAAGCAGAAAATGATCAGGGTACTGATACGAGACTGCCACGCCCGCATCCACAAGTACCGCCAGCTGATTGAACATCATTCGTCAACTTGCCAGTCGATCTTTACGGCACACGAGCTGGGGGTCCTCAAAGCGGCTATTCTCGACAGCGCAAGGCGTCACCGCAAGTTGCGTGATGACCAGTTGTCTGGAAAATTTGAGAAAATAAGTCCGCCAAAGCAGCCCTCTACTGACGGTGCCTTGGTTCACAACTTGTCCTCTCATCGTTTAACTCAGCAACAACTAGCGGTTCTATCCTATGTGCAATCGATGCGGATCATGTTGTACATTTCATGATGAACAGTGGTAAACGGCCAGGTACGATGCTATGTGAATGGACATATCACGGTCTTAAAAAATCTCATAATTGGAAACTTTTTAAAACCTAATTATACTCCTTTATTCAGTATAAAATATAACGAAGACGTAATTCTCTATTGATTGACTAAGAGAAAGCCTAATTTTTTGTGGTTTGTATAAAATATATTTGAATTTCCAAGATCATAGAAAATCAACGGGAAAAATGCATGCTACTTAAGTAGTCATTTTTACCGAGCACGTTTACAGAAGGAGATTGAAAAGAAGTGCGTTTAAAAGCCGACATCCTGCCAAGTCTAAAATGTTATAAGACGATGCCTTAAAATAATCAGTGTCACAACCGCGACCAAGTATTCCTTCCTAATGGGAAACGCATTTCAGAATTTCAGCCAACATTTCATGAGATAGGTCTGTCACTTTACCATCCATTCGAGCGCTAACATAAGCCCGTCGCCACCATCTCAGCGTCTTGAACTGCCATCACACATTTTGTCACCACAGGGGCCTACTCAGTTGCCTGCACCTCTACGGAAATCTGCGATAAATCGAAACATACCTGAGATTATCACCATGCACTTCTACATTAATATGTCCAGTGCACACAAAAATTTTAGATATCGTACATGACAGGCATTAGTTAGGCACATATCACGTTGATGGAAAGCTAGTTCTTCGAATTAATTTCTGTGTGGTTCTTTTGCTACATGCGCGGCTCAAACACTCAATTCCGTATGGATGAGATCCTGACGTGATTTTTTTTTTGGGGGGGGGGCAGGTCGTGTATTTGGCGCTCGCATACCGACAGTCCCTAGCTCTGTCTGCCACATCTCAAAATTTCAAGAACAGATAACTTTTTCAGCTCAGACAGTCGATTGGTGCGTAGAAAAGGCCAAATATAATGAGGTTGATTCGCCAAGCATATTCTGCACAATAAGCAAACTATTACACTGAAGTTGTTCCACACTTAGGGGTTAAGTATGACTAGTCGAGGACGGCCAATAAACCAGAAGTGACCATTTAACTCGCCCTTTTCTTTGTCGGTAATATCAGTCTAATCCCAGTATGTTAAAAGCCGTTGCCTAGAAGGTTACAAACCGACTATTGAACACAGACCTCGCAGTTAGCCTAGTGTGTTTTTGTGCGGAGTGCGTGACTGGTGGACTCTAAGAATCAGACCGCAAAGACTCCCTATTAAATTGGGTTTTATGGCACTCCCACCCATTTTGGATCTCGATCACAGTCCCTTTTTGGTTTGGTAAATCTCGGTCGGTTTTGCAGACCAGGGGATGTGGTCGCATACCTAGGGGCGGGTTGACATCTCGCCTGTCACCTTCGTCTTTCTTGTCATGACGTTGAGGCCCGATGGAAGATGATGATGATGATGATGATGATGATGATGAGGAGGAGGAGGAGGAGGAGGAGGAGGAGGAGGAGGTGGAGAAGGGAGTGTGACAGATGCAATCACCGCTCACTTGTCCACCTTGCTGTGACGCTGTAATGGACATCGTCAGAATCGACGTTTAAACTGTCCGGTAATCCATGTCTTTACCACCAGTTCTTGGGGAATGAAGGTGAAGTATTAGTCTACTTCGATTAGAAAAAAATGCTTCCGTTAGACTCTACAGTCAGTCCCTCCTGCACTTCCGCTGAGCACTTGACAGACACAAATGTAAAGAATGGTCATTCAGAACCTGACGCAGATCGAAATTGTCAGTAAATGCGGTATCCTGCTGTAAGCGAAACGCATATCCGTCAGTCTTTATAATGCCATTTCATCAGCGCATGCGCCTGACAGACAATACGGTATGATGACTGCGTAAATTTAGAATAGTCCACGCACGAACCAACAGAACCACAACACTGACACGAAACCCAATACAAGGTTCGAATCATTATGTAATTTCTCA